ATATATATATATATATATTTATATTTATTGTATTTATATTTGATAAACAAAATATCATATTTATAGAAATTTTAAGATTAATTTTATAATACGAATGATTCATGTTGTATATTATTGAAAATATATTTTATATATCTATTTGTTTAGGTAATAGAATGGGCAGAGAACTATGAAGAAATGGAATACGCCCGTTCTGGATTTGTAGCACCTGAAACAGTGGAATTATCTGAAGGACCTCTGCCACAGTTCCAACATAGCATGGAACCACAGTTGAGACAGTTGGGTATGCCTACGTCATTGAAAAAGGGAGTTATTACTTTGATTAAACCATTCACAGTTTGTAAAAAGAATGAAGTACTGACACCGGAGCAAGCACAAATTCTGGTACATATTTATATACATATGTGTGTATATATATATATATTTTTTTTTTAATATTTTGCATTGAGACATTGAAACTAAATCCTTACATGTTTTGTAGAAATTACTAGGTAAACCGCTAGCAGTTTTTAAGCTATTACTTTTGGGGGTGTATACGAAAAAACATGGTTTTAAGAAACTTACAGTATCAGATGATGCGAGAGAAAACGATGAAGAAAAGATGGATATGGAGGACAATGATGATACATGAAATTTATATGTATTGTAATTTAAGAAAAAATGTATATATAACTTTATACGTAAATATATTTCCTTATTTGTAATTACTTTGTTTAAAACAGCAAATTTTATGCTATGAAATTGTATTTAAATGCTTAAAATGTAACAAATGAGTACAGAATAATTGGTAATTTAACCGTGTCAAAATTTTTAGTGTTTTAAATAATATAATTTTAGGAATAATTTTATATAAACAAAATTTATATTAAATAAAATATGCAAACACTTGCTTTAACTCTATTTTGGATGATTGGTATATTATGGGTGAGTAAAATTTAACGTCTGTAAGTTTTTATCTAAATTTTATCACATGTGCTATATCGTAATTTTTTATATATAATTTCATTTATCATTTCAAACAATATTTTTAGGGTATATATCATTGGTATATAATTAGATCTCCAAAAGAAGCCGATAATAATATAATATCCAAAATAGTTTCCGATTTTGAATCTGATAGGCACAGTACATCTTCTATCGAGTCTTTAAAAATTTTAGAGCATTCAGATAATGAAAGTACTAGAAATAGAACAAAAAATGTGCAAAAATTAACACATGAGGTACATAATTGTTAAAATGAATACTTAAATATTTGAAGAATTCTGAATGTATAATGAACATTTATGAAACATTACAAATTTTATATACATATACATATATATATATATATA